GGGCTGCAGCATTCCCGGTGCCAGGGCAGCTCTGGGATCCCCGGGGCTGGAGCTGGTTGTGCTGAGCCGACCAGACGGTTGCACGCGCTGCCTCGTGGTTTTTATCTTCTCGATACCCAGGGTATTTCAGCTCTTCTGTACTTTGATGGGGGTGTGGAGAGCAGGCTGCTGTGTTGTAGAAACTGCTGTGTGGCCATGTCCCCCAGCTGGGAGCTCTTTGCACTTTCCCTGTTAAGCAGAAAGTGGACAAAGTGCCCTCAAATTCCTGCCAGGGAGAAGCTGAACAGAAGCACATCAGCTTTTAATATCGGGATGATGTTACTTGCTTTGTCACGAAAAATGCAAGCCAAGTGACGTAAGCAGGGTGCCCCCGGTCTTCGGCTGGTGGAGCGTTCTGGGCGGAAGGCGGACGCAGCGTTTCCGTGCCGCTCTGGTTTTAAGGCCGACGTTAGTTTTCAGGCTGCTGTAGCAGAAGTATTCTGCTGGGATTCAAACCCTGGGTGTGCAGGAGCTCTTGGCAAAGCCTCTGGCAAGGAGCTGGCTTGTCTGTGCTACCACCTGCAGGGGCTGTCCTGTATTGCATAAACCGCTTGGCCGCTGCCACGTCCGGGAAAACCAGGGCATGGAGCGGGATTGATTCCCTTCCCGCAGGAGGAGGTATCCTGGCTCTGCCTGATGAGCTTCCTCGCCGTACGCTGGTTGGAAGTCTCTCCAGGCAGAGTTGGAGTGGCTTGTCTGGTAAATAGAAAGAGGAGAACAAGAACTGTGTCTTGGAGGCGTAAGAGTTAATCAGGAAAGCCCCGAGACATTCAGGAAAGACCGGAGCTGCAGGCAAAGGGCCATGATCAGTTAATTCTCTCTCCTCCTCTGAAATGAGAAGTGGGAGTCCAGTAAGGAAGCTGGTGCTTAAGTGGCTTTGTTCAGTCTTTGCAAATGTTAGTGCTCACCATCCGTCAAAGGAGGAGGAGGAAGGGAGGCGTTCATGCAGCCCACGGAAGCCCACGGAAGCTGGGGGGAGCGGAGGTTTGCATTCTGCCCCTTGGGTTGCCAGTTCCCGGCTCCCAACAGCAAATATGAGGAATTCTCTTTGATACTTGCAAAACTTCGATAGGCCTCAAAGACAGAAGTGTCAAGGGGCAAGTTTTGGGGGGAGAAAAGCACTGGGAGGGACATCTGAGGCTGGGGGTGCCGTTAAATCCTGGTATGGGGTTGGAGCAGAAAAGGGCCGTTCTGTGTGTTTATCTGTTCTCTCACTGCGTTTCCAGGATGCCGAGAGCGAGGGAGAGCTGGAAGAGATGCGGTCGGTCTGGCAGGAGTAAAGGAGGCTCGTTGCACCGGGCGCTGCAGGGGCAGGAAGGTTCCGGCCACGGGGATTTCGCGCTCCTGCAGCTCTGACTGCGCTGCGTGGCCAAGGAGCTTGCAGGGAGGAGCCCGGCGGCAGTCTCGCCAGCACGTCCCGGAGAAGGACTCGGGGGGATGTAACCCCATACAAACTTGTATTCTTTTCCTTCTTAGAGCCCTGCAACTGTTTGGTTTTAACACTCCCGCAACACGTCACATTCCTACGAGCAGGTGTGGGCCCACGGGTAGGGTCTGTGACAGAACCCCGTGTGATTACGTCGTGGACACGGGTGAGACGTACACCTTGGGCTGTAGAAAGAGGCACGTGTTTATGACACACGCCGACTTCGGCTCGCACGATGGCCTGGACCTCAGCCCGGCTCGCTGCTGCGCGCTCTCCGCGGGCTCCCGAGGAAGCCTTCAGCCAGGCTGCGTGTGCCAG